AGTAGCAGTAGTAGTGGTAGTCGTCGGGGTCGTGGTCGTAGTAGGACTAGTACTTACTGGCGGAAATAGTAATTGTGCCCCCCCCCTCCCAAAACAAAAAAAAGCCTTCGCGTGCGCCCTCCTTAGATCCTGAAGATATGGAAGCGCATAGTCGGCCCTATGCAACCCGTGTACTCTGGGATCCAACTTTGAGATCTTTGGGGGTCAACCCTAAACCCGAAGCCCTGAGAAAGCTGGTCACTAATATAACCCCAAGACAACCCCAACATAACCCAAACATTGCCAGAATCCCCAGTTCGACGCTTGGGGTCAGGCCTCGAGGTTCCGTTCCACTCTCACTACTCGGGCGTAGATCAGATCACCAACCAGAGGACTGAAAGCTGAATGCTAGATTGCTGTTCAGGGACTTGGATTGAGTTACTATAGTTTGGGGATGAAGTAAGTTGTAGGTTTTCCCAATCATGGTAGCTTAATTCCAGTTCCTAAACAGCAGCCCAGAATACCGTTAGCCAAACACACATGGAACGTCTTCTAGGCGCCGTGCGAGAACTAAAATCCGGCTTGTGCTGAAGGTCCCCGTTTAGGGATTCCATGTTGTTCGGCGGAGAGTACTGGATATCAAGTAACCACAGATTCGGGCTGAGAAGGATGTTCCTTGCTGATCCAGAGTTTCGGAACAACGTGAAGGCATCCGCCGCAACCGGCCATGTACTCAGCCGTGAGCTGGAGTGGCAGGGAAGTGATACTTATGAGGTACCTGAGCTACGCTGCCCGAGGTGTGGGAGCCTTCCACCGCAACTCTGAGTTCACCAAGGGCTGCGACAAGTTCATCCTGGGCGTTCATAAGGACTTTTCTCGTTTGTTCCTGAAAATGGGTCCTTCCAGTACAAGTCAAGCTTCCAGCCTGGAGTCCTGGCCATGATAACTGCGATGGGATCCTGAGCTTTGTGCACCATGTCTCCCAACCTTGGGAGCAGAGGACGAGGCCCTCAACGCCATGTATGCCGGGCTGAAGGACACTCAGCCTCTGAGGACCGGCCGTGGGAGACGCACTTCACTGCGCAGTCGCCTGACAGACATCCTTGGAATCTGCTTGCATCAGGCATTTGGGGGGCGAATATGCCCCAAATCACTTTGTCGACATTCCGTCACTTGCAGCATTGAAAGCAACAATCCACAGCAAGGTGCAGGAGGCCAGACCGACACGGTTCCAATCTGTCTGTGAATCCGAAGCTGCTTGGAGGTTTGGGGTGCCATGGGCTACGTGTCCCTGCGGCAGCGACTCTTTGACTTCTGCGACCACGAAGGTTGCCTTTGGTGGGCTTGAAAGAGATGTCCAAGATGTCTGTGTGTCCTGGAGGTTTCGTGCCCAAGGGCGATGTCGTGGTGGCAGCTCTGCTTAAAGATTGTGCTTAAATGCGCTGGCAGTAGACACTGGGTTTCACGATGTTGCTGCTGAGCTAGTTGTCAATTACAGAGCCTGGCCAATGTCCGCCGTCTCAGGTATTGCGAGAGCAGCTTGGCGTTTCGGAGGAAGAAGTGCCAAGCAAGCCCTTAGACGTTACTCGGCTCTACTTGGGCTACGCTCTTGCAAGGGTGGGCGTTGAGTATGCTATGCTGGGCTATGCAGTTGAGTAAAGCGCAATTTGATCCTTTTGCTGCACTGATGCTGCTATCTGGCATTACCCAGTACAGGGGCTATTCGTAAGCTGCTAGCATCACATCCATTAGTGGCGAGTAAATCTCAGAATTTGTTGAGATCATGAATCACGTCTCTATCGACAGTCGAGACAACCTGGGGCATCAAGCTGTCAACCTTTTGGCAGAGCATGGGCGTTGTTGGCGTTCCTTCTGCCCAGATTTGGCTGACGCAGCTGGTCACCATGAAGAAGGCTTCTAACTTGCATAGCTGCCCTTTAGGATGCTGATGATGTGTTGTCCAACGTTGCCGGTATCCGTGTCCAAACTAAACAGGGCAGCTGGGTCAGCAGGGAAGGGAAGTGCTGCCTTCAGGATGAGCTCAAAGCTTCCTCCTTCATGACCTCCTTGCGACCTGCACTTCCACAAAAGGACCCTTGCGCAACGAAATTGCAATATTTCAATCCAGGCGGAAGGAAGGTACAGCTTCAAGAGTTCATCATATGCATAGGCACTGCAGGATAGCAGCTGCTAGGCTACAGACGTGCCCGCAGCACAGGGCAGGGTCACAAAAAAAAATAGCATGCTAGCACAGCTCAAGCTTCCCTGTGCGCTTGTCCAGCATGAAATCAGGAAGGGCATCCCTTCGCATCTTGGAGTGTGAACCTTGCCGATCCCTGGCAGGACAAGAGGCGCGTGCTGACAGCCTTTAAGCTGCTGCAGGCCATTGCACGGCTAGAAACACAGGGTGCATCTTCATGGTGAGTGATACCTCTGCAAGTCTAAAGATGATTGCTGCAGGGGCCCAACAGCAACGGCATTGTTCGCCTTGGCGACTGGCTGCAGAGGCTGCGAATGCGGTACATGCCACAGGTACATCCTTACATCATCCTTCTGCTTTTTCCCTTGGTGCGCTTGGCGAACGCATTGCTGAAGCCTCGTCTGCCAGAATGCATGTCAGCTGGTGCAATGCAATCCAGGCTGGACAATGGCGAAGTCAAGCAGACAGTCATCCTTGCCTTCGGCGCAGAGGACGAGGAGCAAGCTTTATTCGGTCAGCGACAAAAAGAGCAGGCGAACCATGCAACGCGATGTAGCACTTAGCTCCTGACACGGAACGCCAGATCTGGGCAGGAGAGTGTTGCAAGCACTTCTGTCACTGAGCGGGTATTCCTGGAGCTGTTCTCTGACCTAGCTTCCTGGCAAAACCTGAGAGACATGACGCCGCTGTTAGCCAAAACGTATGCCAAATGCTCTCCGACAAGCCTATCCTTCATATGGCTGCTGACATGAGGCCATGCTTAGGTCCAGGTGGGAAAGCACTCAGGCTATAAACAACTTTGCTATCCCCTTATAGAGCCTGCTTAGTTGGTACAGTCTTCCAGATAGCCCAGGCACCTTTCCTGGACATCGGCTCTCTGCTGGAGTGAGGAAGAAGCGTCATAGAACCACATTACCTTCTGGTGCTTGGTAAGAAACACGTGAATAAACTCCCTGTATCTATACACTGTATTCCCTTGTTCCCTACCCCCGAAAGATTTGTAATCAGCAGCAGTAGTAGTAGTAGTAGTACTACTCATGAGCATGTCAGTCAGCCAGGGGTAGCTGTATGGACAAATGGTCCCAAATAGGCCATAAAAACATGATAGATTTTAGTTTGGATAGTTTGAGGTTTTCAGTAACCTTATGGTTTCACAAAGCCTCAGGGGCTGTCCTGAGCAAATTTGCTCGGCTCTCAGCTTCCATTCCTCCCGTGCAAATGTCCTCAAAAAAGACACGTTTCACCAGTGCCCGGAAAGAAGTTCCGGGTGCGTCAATCGGCGAGTTTGGTCAGGATGCGGCCACCCTCGCGTCCTCTCCCATTTAGCACTGGCTGAATGAATTGCAGCAGGTGTAGATCAGAATTACAGCTTTCGGAACCGGGATGGAGCTTGGACCAGCACAAAACATTCAACTGGCGGTGCACTGTTTAGACACACACACACAGGTATATAGATTTATATATATATATACACATACATATGTATATGTATATAGAAGACAACATTGTGCACGTACCCCCTGATCTGGCCAGTTCCGACAGCTACTCAGCAGATGAATTTGCGCGGACTGCGTGCGATGAAGTCACGGGCATGGTGAGCTGTTCTCGGCGTAGTTGTGAGTTCAGTGTTCACGCCCAATCATACCTTTTAATACCTCTACCCTCAAGTTAGGATGAGGCTTCATGCATTCTCTCTGGGCTCTACATGTGCGCGACTTCACGACACGTCAGGCAAAGCCTGGGACTTGATTGGACCGTGCCATCAGAAGCAAAGGGGTCTCTTTTGTCTGCAAGCTCCTGACATGAGCCAGAGACTCAAGACCAAAACTCAGAGTGCTTGTAATTTGATCGAGCGAAGAACTCTGACTGTGCCGGCTTCTGGAAGCAATAGAATTCCTCACGCGTTGTGGAATTTGACAGCATCCCGGCCCTTGCAATCACCCGGATGACTCACCGACAGGTTGCTGATGCGGGCCTACCGATGCTGGGCCGGATCCTGAGATATCCCAATTGTTGACAACAACACATGGAAAGCATTCCAACAAGGGACGCCTGGCAATTGTCTCGCTCAGATCGGCTTCGATTTGGACTTGACCTATTAACGTCATGTGTCAAGTCCGCATTGGTGAGGATAGAGAATGAAGATGAACCCATAAAGGAATTGGTGGGTGGCTCCACATGCTCTGGCTCATGCTGCCAGCACTTATCTTAGCGTTCGGGGGTCGTACAGACTGATGCGGCCAACCCTTTGGAAGCAGAAGCTCGCAATCAGCGCCATGTCCGCCATCTTGCTGCTGGGAGGCGAGGAGGAGAGGGACATCTTTGCTGCAAAACTTGCATTCCGTGATGGGCCTTCTGCGTGCCCTCTGATGGTATTTGCCAGCTCACCTGGCGCTGGGGCAGAGGAGAGGCTTGGCGCAGTGCAGGCTGCTGGCCAGCTGAAACTGTCATTTCGCGCCGTGGACACGGTCACAAACTTCTCCACCATGATACCGGACCTCCAAGCTGCTGGTGTTACGCATGTTCTGCTTGTGACGTCTGGCTACCACATGCCACGGGCAACCGCGATAGCTGAGATAATGTTGGGCTCCTGCAACATCACGTTTGAGGCATGGCCTGTTGAGTGCGCTGCGACTGTGGATGGCAGACGTGAGCCGAAGTGGAGAACTTATCGCGCTCCCTGGCAGAATGTCAGAGAAGCATCCGGGACTCAGCAATGGGTTGAGAGCAAATCATGATTGCGTGTGTCACTGTAATGAACTGTATTCGCCACCATGAAGAACGCTCGTTGGATTCGACAGGGCTCCTCCCACAAATTTGCATGGTCTCATATAAGTCGCAGGTCCTTAGATGTGTCATATAGCAGGGTTCCTCAGCCCCTCTCCGCAGCAGAACCCCAATAATGTGGTGCTTGGCTGTCGCGGTGTTGGTTGGTAAGCCAGCTTCTTGCTTTTGCAAGCGGAGGTGTTGTGAGCTAGTGGCTGGAGGCCTCTAGTTTAGATATCAGCTTCCGTGAACTTAGCCTCAGTGGCAGATCCGAAGAGTGGGAAGTTGGGAAGGCTTTGTCATTGTTTGGTTTAAAAATCAGCTGTAAAGTGTGTATGCCCTGGTGCAGATGAGTGGTTGTCAAAGTTTGTCTTGCTTTCTGAACCTCACTCAGGCACCATGTCATGAGTAGGGCTACGTAGGGTTTCAAAAGCCATGTGGACTACCAACACAATCCAACGTGACCCAATTCTTGGAAACCCCTGGACTTTCACCCTCTTTGATGATACGCCTATGCTCCCCTGACCTCCCATCGAGAACGACAACAAGGGTCCTACAAAGACTACCTTTGATTGAAACTGGCCATGTTGGTTTGGGGTATCTCAAAGTGCCCGGTGACTGCTACAATACAATCTATTTTTGAGCCAGGTTGTAACGGTTTGGGTCGAGATCGAGAAAGGAGACGAATAGCTGACTGAGTCAATGAGTTTAGCCAAAGGGGTGAGCACAATGATTACCCAACATTAGGGAACCTTTCTTTGGGGCCTGCTGAGCGAGACCCAAAATGCCCAATAATATTGAGAGCTTGTGGTCATGAAGACAAAGCCCGGGCACAGCAAGATGTAGTACTAGTAGCGCTTTTGGGGCATGCCCTCATGTGCATTCGCAGGATGTCCTTCGAGCGCGAATTTGGAGCATAACCGGATGGGATTTTCTCTGGCTGGCGAAAGTTCTGGTCCGCCTTGTTCGATGCTGCAGAGGTTATTAGCGCACAGATGTCTGGCGTTAATCGGAGTTCTGGGAGAATCTGTCCATGCGCCGCTCGGCGTATGATTGGCGGACTAAGTGACTGACCGACCGACTGACTGACTGAGCCACGGACTGACTGATGACTGCAGAGAACATGTATTCAAAGACCAGCAAGCTGCGACAAGACCACGCTCACTGACAGACCCTGCATTGGAGGCTCGAGCTGTGCGGCGGTTCTTTTGCCCACTTCAGTTTGCACAGCTGGACCCTTCGAGGATCATGTGCGGAGGGAAGGACAGGCAAGAGCCAAGGAGAAAAGGTGGAAGCCTTTCTGTCAGCATGAGACAGCTCAGGTGCGCGGCCACGCAAAGCCCACGCTCCTATAGTCTGGTGTGACTTTTTTATACCTCATGCAGCTTCTTTTGACATTGCTTTTGCCAAGGCCCTTGCCTGCCCTTTTGCCGGACGGTGAGGCCAAAATTTGCGAGTCTTTTGCTGACAGCATTCTACCTGGATACAGCTTCTGTGCATGGCAAACTCGTCAGTGACCGTCGACGCTCAGATCAGACACAAGACAACTTGTGAAGTTGCTTGCATTTTGCTTGTATCAAACGCAATACTACGTAGGTCAGCACAACTACCTCCCCTAGCCAGGACAGGGCAAAAGACGCAGGAACTTCGACCCACAGTGCCAACTTACACGATCAGTGATTTAGTGCTTAAGCCCGCTGCCGCCATGGCTTGTTCCCGCTGTCGGCAGTGCATCGACAGCCTGAGACCTGATGCCTCGCCATCTACAGAACTCAGCGACGCATCTGGCAGAGGTTTCAGCAGACATTTGCTGTCATCCCCAGACTTGGAGGACTAACTGTCCTGCTGCAGGCTCTGGTTGTCAAGCAGATCTCTGCCCTTTCCGGATTCAAGTGGACGGCTTCTCAGGACATTCATAGGATGGAAAACTTGCGTAGGGCATCATAATGCCACGCCTTTCTCGAGAAGGCTTCGCCATCAATCAGTTCAGCTCGTGGCACTACGGTGCATAAAGGAAATTGCGTGGCTTATCTGCCGACAAACAAGGTTGCAAAAAAGAACAAATTCCGCACCCCTGGAGCTGAGAGGTGGTTCCCAAAATCAGGTTCCCATTCTTGTGCCCCCTACGTACTTCCTGCGGTAAAATGATTGGTGCCTTTCGGGGTGCATGTTCTGTGAGAACAGCCCGGACCAAGAAGGGCAACTTGAGAAGGGGGTTGCGAGGAATGGAGTTTCAAGGCAGCGCTTCAGTGGTGCAAGATTCCCTCCATCAACAAGATCAATGGCATCATGGGGGTGGGGTACATTATGCTATAATATATTAAATTATATCATACAATACTTTATCATACTATACTATAGTATAGTATAATATAGTGTAATATAGTATCTTATCATTTTTAAAAGCATTCAGGCCATTGCAGTGGTGCCAAGAAGGTTTTGTCACACAACGTGCCTAACCTAAACGTATCTGCATTTGTAGCCACGTATATGGCGCAATTCGAAATCGCAGAGTGTGCACAAAGCCACACGCAGTAGAAGCACCTCGTTGCTGCTGCCGGCTACTGTATGGCTACGTGTGAAGACCGACCCCGCAGGAAGTGGCCCTGTCATGTTCAACCTGACCATCCGCTAGAAGCTTAGATTGCCCCAAAACTGCTTGCAATCTTAATGTTAGCACAATCTTGCCTGCCATGATCATGGAACATGCCCGCTCAAGGCAACGGCGATGCTGTGTGGCAGGTGAGACGCAGGTTTCGGCAGGTCCGATCACTTCATCAGTCTTTGAGACCTTTGGCTGAAGTATCATTCTTTTCAAACCTGTTGTGCCGGGGTTCCTGCAGCCTTTCATACTTCTAGGAACATCCTCCAACCTTTCTTCAGGGGAAGCCAGGTAGTTCCAAAGCAGAGCCGCCGAAAAGGAGACCCATCACTTTGAGAAAGACGTGCGTGCAGCATTGTCCCACTAGTATCCCTACACATACCCTACGAAGCCCTGCTTAATTTTCACATGACTTCCGAAAAGGAGTTGGCCTGACAGGTCAAACCTACCTCGCCCGTGGGTTGCCAGCCCCTCCGCCCCGGGCGACTGTGCGGTCGATGGTGTTTGGGCAGTATCTGAGCCGCAACCTGCTGGTGTAAGGGGATTCGTCATACAGGGGGGATGGGAATTTCTGTTATCTATCATGCTGAGGAGCTGTAGGAGATGGCCAGGTAATGAGTTGAGTGTTTTCCTGCCTGGGTCAGCTGCGATGCTTGGTAGAGAATGCCCAAGTCAAAGCCGGCCTACATCGAGTAGTGAGTAGTAAACGTACCTTTCAAACACTTTTTCGGGGATCTGTGTTTTTTTGCCTTGTATCGGGGCTGGTTGGCTTCGAAGATGGAGGCGTTCTACAGGACTCTGGTGCCAGGATCCTGCCACTTCACCTTTTGAAATATTCTTCGTCAATGCTTGTGGATCGAATTGCTGTGTGGCAGGGCCAAAGTACAGGTGAGCTCTGAAACTGATTGGGGTCTAGTTTCTCTTTCTCCGGACTTCTGCTAATGATAACGCATGTCGTGATGGAACATCCTCCCCACTACCATCGGCGTGACCATGCTTACTCTTTCATGCTCGTGTTTCAGGATAGTTCTGTTGTTGTTGACGAACATCTATCTCGCAGAGTGTGTATGCAGGGAAATTTTAGGATTCCTCGACTGCTTGCAGGAATGACCGGCCGTTTCTTCAAGAGCGCTCCAGGAGGAAACCGCGGCCTTCTTGGTATCTGATGGTCAAGCAAAGATGGGGTAATACCTGTCTATCAGAAGGAACAAAGGGGTGTCCTAGGGCCATTATTCATTTGGTCACTGCGGATGTTTCTGAAATTGAAAAATGCCTCTCTGGAATCTCAGAGTACAACACCTGCGCTAGCTGCTGCCATCCTCTGACAGGATTCAGCTATACTTGCGGGAACTCACAACCGTAATCCCGTATGTGGAACAGTGCGAAGCGCTGTATCAGCTCCTTGCAAGCATTGGGATGTATGACGCAAGTGGCAGCTGGAAGAGCACCTCATGACGCTGGTCTTGTGCAGGTTCCTGTGCTACCTCCACCTTCCCAGATGGCGAGGGGACCGGGTACGAGCCAAAGTTCAGCTTGAGTGCAACAGGCTGAAGTTAGCGGCTGCAGAGGTGCAGGCAGAAGCACCGCACTGGTCCCACGTCTGGAGCTTCAGGTCCTGGTCGGCGGTGGAGCGCCACCTGTAGACCCAAATGTGGTGACGAAGCTTCCCAGGGCACTCCCCTTGGAGCCCAGTGAAGGCGAGGAGGTCCCGGACAAGGCAGGGCTTGCCCGCTGTAGATGTCAGATGCATGCCCACATCATGACTACAGAAAGTTGAGTCCATTGTGCCCTGAATTTGCTGGGTGGATCACGGTTCTCCCTTGTTGCCGGTGATACCTTGGTTGCCTTCCGCGGGAAGGCCGCCGTCTGCGTGGTCTGCCAGGAAGTTATGGACGTCAAAGATGACATCCGAGTGTACTTAGCTCAAACGCCATTTGCAGAATGATGTTCACCTAAGCAGGTCCTCGCAGTAGACAATTTGTTTGTTGGACGTTGTGAAGGTTGCCCTGCAAGCACGAGCTCCGCGGCTGCAAAGGAATTATACATGATACCGGTTTAAACGAGCTAGCCTTTTGCGGGAGAGCTTATTTCTTGCAAGAGTTCGCGGAAGGTTATAAAAATCTAGATGTTCAAGTTCGTACATTGTTTTTTTGCGGGACAGTTCGGATTAGATCGTGAGTACTGTCACTGGTCGGTTCATATTATGCCACAGAGAGAGCCATGCAAGAGCTAAGGTTTCACTACAAGTGCATCTCAAACTGGCTGACTAAGCGCAACACTTGCTGCATCTGTAATGGCCCCGCAGTGCTTTCTGCGCCACACTTTACATAGCTCGGCTGCGCAGATGCGCGTGGAATCTGGGTCTGTCGGATGTGCCAAGCACGACTGCAGATTTTTTGCCAAAGCTGCACCGATCCAGCTCCAGCCAAAGGCTACCGTGTCGGTTTTTCCAGGCGGGAGAAGTCAAATGCGCGCAGGCGCAAAGCAGCAAGGATATCATTACGCAGCGTGAGTGGAGACCTCCACAGTTTGTTGTTTATGGCTTCACCCGTTTCACACACATGGTGTGTAGACAGGTGACAAGTTCAGGTGGCCCAGGCGACTTTGCAGCCGGCTCCCTCCGCAAACTTATGTTGGCCCCGTAAACAGGTACCCCTAACATATCCTATCATCATGATGTCCTGAAACCGGACTCGACTCGGCTGCGCAGGTCAGGTGCAGGAATCAGCAGCGAAGCATCATGATTGGATGTCAGAGAGAACCGCGGGCGGAGAAGTAACAGGGCGTCCTGCCTTTGTAGAAGCTAGTTTTGACGGGGTCCGCTGCGATCTAGTGTTTAGGGACAGTACCATGCCTAAAAGGAAAAGCGGAAGGCAAATGAACACGTGTGAAATGAAAGGCAGTGGCGGCTAGGCCAAACAGAACCTTTTGTTGACGGCAACTGTTTGCGCGCATGCCTGCCAGAACCTGCTGTCTGCATGTACTTTGTGACCGATCTTCTGGGATTCGTTCCGGAAGTAATGATAGTTGATAGTTCATGAGAGACCCACATAGCAGCGTCAATGCATGTATAATACATGAGCTCCAGCGCAACTCCAGCAACTCACCAACTACAAGAAGAAGCTAAGAAGATAGGCCTGCCTGGGTTCCAGCCTCGGCAATGCTGGAGGCCCTGTTTGGGACGCAGCCAGACTCAGCCCGACGGCGCCGAGGTGATGACGATGATCGCGATTCGTCATGGGGTGTGTGGGACGTTGGGCATATCCTAGGAGGTGCTGGTGACACAGGTGACGTGCAGCAAAGCGTCCAGCAGACACCACGAACAACACCGTCAAGTCCGATTGACATAGAGACCCGGAGAGCAAGGGCAGTGCAATCTCCCAACGGCTCAGAATCGCCGGTCACTGTTTTAGCAGAGGATGCAGCAATTTCCCCCAACGAAGGGAGCGGAAACTGGTTGCCCTTCCTGAGCAGTCGAGGTCGCCCATCTCATGGAAGCCAAGCAAGCCAAAGCCGAGCCAGTCGCGCATCGCTGCCTCCAGAAGGACCTGAAATGGCAGCGCACCGTATCCTGGATCAACTCCAGAATGCCCTGGTGACCTGGGAAGCTGCCATGAAGTCCAGGACCAGCTTCACGGGAGACTGGAGACCTGGGCGTGAGGAGCAAGCTGTGGAATTTGCTTCTGCTTCATTGGAAGATCTTCGAGCCAGCCTGGCGCAGGAGGGTGTGATGAAGAGGATGCTCGGCAGCCGAGATTCAGAGCAGGGCGCAGTGCGAGGCCATGAAGTCCTACAAGCTTTGGCTGGTCACAGTCCATGGTCTGACCAGGACAGGGTCCAAGAACTTCTGAGGCGCCGTGCAGACTTCCTCACAAACCAGACTTTTGATCCCTATCGGAGTCGGTTTTCTGTTGCCAAGCAATTCCTACAGCTTGTGGGGGACAAGCGACGCTGGCCCCAGGCTGAGGCTTTGGCGCTTCAGTGGCCTGAAGTCTTGGAGCGGACCTTGGGAGGGAACGGGGCAGACGACTGGAAGAAACGTGCGCAAAGCCTGCTCGACAGGGCGGCTGCAGCGCGTGAACGGAGCCGCGCCCAGCAGTCCAGCGGTCCCTGGTGCGAGGCTTTGGAAGACTTTGACTTCCTGGACCTTGGCATCGTAGAAGCGAAGAGCCATGATCGGGGGGCACCTTCAGTGAAGGGAGAAGTTTCCGGGCGTTTTACCTTCACCCGGATCCGGGCGTTCAATCTGCGGAGCGCAGACATGCTCGATGAGTCGGATCCTTTTGTGAGATTCGAACTTGGAAGCCTCGCCCAAGGGCAAACAAGCGTCGTTTGGAACAACGAGAAGAACCCTGAGTGGAAGGATCCCAACACTGGCCGCTGGGAAGAGGTGATTCTGGACGTTAGGGAGGCATCAACGGAACGCTTCCCGCAGCTTCACATCTCAGTCTGGGACAAGGACACCTTCACTCACAATGACAGTCTCGGCAGTCAAGTCCTCTCACTGGTGGACTTGATGCAGAAGCATGGAGGTTACTCCTCTGCATCCCGCACCTTCGCAAACCCCGTATCTGGTAGCACGGGCTCTCTGGTACTTCAGGGTCCTGGTGCAGGGGATCGTGGTCCCACCATTGAGTTCGAATTCACTTGGGCTCCAAACCTTCATGGGCCAAATCGCTTGGACGGATTGCTGGACCCGTTGGCACTTCCGCCAGCAGAGGACGATGCCTTGCAGCTGGTCGCCGAAATGGAGCTGGAGTTGCCTAAGTTCCTAAGGGAATTCGGCCCTAAGTCGGCTGAGAGCCTTGGTTTCTTCCTACAGCCTCAGGACTGCCACTCGGATATCCGGAAGCGGCCAGACGTGGACAAAAGGCACAGCAACTCGGAAATTCAGCGGGTGAAAGATTACAACGAACTTCTGAACAAGATCAAGAATCGGCTGCAGCATCATCATGTAGATTTCCGGGAGATAAACAGCCTCATTCAGGAGCTCCGAGAAGTTGAGACACGCGCAGGAAGCGGTTCTGGACGCCGCATCTTTGCCTTCCAAGATGAAGATCTGCCCACCATCGGTGAGTGGAGCACGGATAGACGCCGGCAGCTCCGAAACCAACTGTTCCTTGCAAAGTTGAACTCCGGAATAGTTCCTGTTGAGCGTGGCTGGAACCCCTATCTCTTGCCAACATTCGTCCTGCTGGCAGTCTTCTTCTGCCTGCTCAGTTTGCTAGTGCTAACATTCTTCCGCGACGAAAACGGGCGCGGTTGGATTGTAATTCTATTCAGCCTTTCCGGTTTCATGTCTGTAGCGGTAGCGATAACTGTCTCGCTTCCTAAATGGAAGCCTTACTTTGACAAGCCTCGTACTGGAGCCAATAGCTACCAGTCCGTTGCAGCATCAGCATGACCAAATCGAATGGGAACAGCGAGTCGAAACAGCGAGAGAATCATTCTGCAAGGGTTCTGGCAACCTGCAGCAACATGACATGAGCATCAGTTTTGTCAGTTGGGAAAGCCGTGCACGCTAGCATGGCGTGTCCAGTGCTCATCGAGGTTGCAGGGTTACACTCTCTCCATCAACCATAGTTGTAGGTTGACAAAACTTTGGCCCCATTTAGGCTACCTTAATCGTAGCAAAGGGGACCATAATTTTGACAACCTACCGCCTGCATCCAGTTTCCATTTAACTTTCCATTAAGTTCTTCATTTTTCCAATCTTTAGGTCGTTTTGAGCAGCCCTGAAATGCTTGAGGTTTAGGGCTTAGTGGGGGTCAAAATTAGTGCTCGGGCGCTTAACATTGTAGTTTCCATCAAATAAATAGGGAGATCCCGCTACCGCCAAAAACTAGACTCCTTAGTATGGGAACCCCCAAAAAGGTACCCCAAGTTCTGGGAAGCCCTGAGCTCTACTCTAAACCTTATATACCGTATCCTTATATATACATCCCGATATACCCCTTGTATCCCCCTTTTAAAGGTACCCCTAATCTGTAAGGAAGGGCCATGAAGCCTCCTTTGCTGCGAGGCTACTGGTTTGCAGAGGCAATGGCCGGTCCAGCCCTAAGCTTACTTGTGGTCAAACAGGAGGTTTCCGAACTTTGGGTCCCTGTTTGGGGGTCCCAGTGAGAGGGAGTGTGGTATCTTAAGGAAAGTCCTGGAGACATGGACTCAAATGGCTGGAAGCCTCTTACTTACGCAGTGTTGAAAAGGATGCAACTTGGACCCATAACCAACTGAGGCTTACAGGAGGTACGTGGAGACCAACAAAAGTTAAAAGGTCAGTATCCAATCCTTGCTCGGCTTGGTCCTCATCCCCAAATCTGTGCGCCACTACCATGACAGCAGCGTGGGACAGGGTTGAAGGAAATAGATGGTTTGCTGCCGTGCTGGCTTTCCGGCTCAAGACCTAGCTGACGAACAGGGGCATGTCAGGGTTTTTGGCGCCAGTGCGATCGCCGGCAAGGTAGAACAGCCAGGAGGAAGTTTTCTACAACGGGCACTCTATGCAATCTTTAGATGGTGTCACATAAGCCCAATGCTAGTTTTTGGCACCAATACTAGGTCATTCTCTCACAGCTCGGCAGCTCAGACGAAGGTTCAGGTTCGAAGGACACTCGGGCTTCAGTCCAATTCATAGTCACCATGGCAAGGATTTCAAGCTCAGGGTGAGGGGTCCCCAAGCCTCCTTTAGTGAGCACAGAACACCTTACATGCTGTGAAGCTGACGTCAGAGGCCGCGCAGGCATGTCTTGGAATCTTTGAGGGACCAAGCTTGCAATGGCTGCCCACGGCGGAGGCCTGGATCAGGGTCAGATGCCGCCTATGGGGTTCCCAGAAAGACTGAGCGGACTGCATGCGCTAAAGCCCACTGCTGCATTCACACCATGCAAGGTCCTCTTCCCCAGCAAGCATCTGGGCTCCAAACTTGCAATTCCCCTGTCAGCACAGGGAACCAACCACAGCCAAAGAGCCTACTACTGTTGCAATCCCTCCTGTGTTTGCCATTTTGAGGACGGGATTTGCTGCCCTGACTTCACTGTTGACCGACCGCTGGGCCTGGCAACTTCCCATGACACCGCCCTCTGTTTAGATCCTGCTCACAGCTTTTGTGCTGGCATCAGTCCTGTAGGAATTCTACCGATTCTATGACCTCGAAGAGCCATGACGTCCCCACTCCCACGAACCCAAACCTCATACCCTCGACCCGATACAACTCAACACGCTAAAACCCTGCTCTCTAAACCCTTTACTGTAAACCTGCACCCCAAGCCCTAGCATGATGGTAGGCTATGAGCCTGAGCCCGGCATGCCCTATTCCGTCATTCCCGAAGACC